TCGCTTTTGCTGAAGCTGGTTTTGAACTCTTGATCCTCCTGTCTCAGCTTCCCAAGCCATTGGGATTACAGGTGTGTGCCACCACACCTGGCCCAGCCCTTTTTTATTTTGAGACAGAGTCTCACTAAGTTGCTTAGGACCTTGCTAAGTACTGAGGCTGGCCTTGAACTTGCTATCCTCCTGCCTCAGCCTCCTGAATCACTGGAATTATTGGCATGCACCCCCCACCACCACCATTGTGTTTGTGTTTTTAAGGTAAAAATAACATGATCACATTATAGAAAATTTAGAAAACTGAAATGAAGGCATCCATATTTCTACCAGTCTTTTGCAGCCATTGTTATTTTGATGTGTATTCCTGCCAATCTTTTTCATATGATTATTTTGAAAAAACTGTATTTTAGCATTTATATAACAGAGCCTTTTCTGTATTGTTATGCTGTCTGTATAGCTGTGATTTTTTCTGGCTGTTCAGGCCTTGGAGGGGATGTGCACCAAAACACACTTGTGCTTTGTGTCATTAGATATTTGTCTTGCTTTTTTTTCCTCCTTTTGTGAATCCGGGTGCAATGAACATTTCCGTAAGTACAAGGTTTTTTTTTTTTTTTTTTTGTTTACATGTTTTTGTCATATTTCCTTAGATAGATTCTCAGGTTCCTGGTGAGAGAGCTTGAAAGAGTACTTTGGCTCTTTGTGCCCAGGACCCAGCCAACTCCACTGGGGACAATTTTTATCATTCTGTGACACTTTCTTATTCTGTGACACTAAGCCTCATCTCAAGCAAGTAGGACTTCACCAAGGTTGGTGACTCTGCCTCCTAGAAGGAAAGACTGAGTTTTTAAATTTGTGAGATATTTCTTAATTAATTATTTATTTTTTWAAATATTTTATTTACATTTTAGTTTTCGGCAGAGACAACATCTTTGTTTGTATGTGGTGCTGAGGATCCAACCCGGGCTGCGCCCATGCCAGGGGAACGTGCTACCGCTTGAGCCACATCCCAGCCCCAAATTGTGTTTATTTGAAATCAGCCTCATACTGGGCGCTTGGGGAGAGTGTAACATGGGAAAACGGGGAAAAGTAAGTGGGCTCAGGCCCACATAGAACCTGTGAAATGAATGGAAGGAGATTTGCAAACCAAGGAAAACAAGTGTTTCATGACCGTCAGGAGCAGAGCCCCTCCTTCCCTCTTCTTCTAGTGTCCTCCATCTCAACTGTGTGGAAATGCTCCTCAGCCCAGGTGGAGGCCTGCCTTCCCAGGCCTTTGCTTGCCTTTTCTCCTTCTTCTGGGAATCCCACCTTTCTCAGCCCTCTGGGGTGTCTATCCTCCCTCCTGACTCTGCATCTCACTTTGGTCCCTAGCACATTCATGAGGTGTGTCCACTTGTTTCATCTATCAGACTGTGGACTCTAGAAGGGTAGGTGTTGTGTCTTGATTRTCCTGGTGTGTTTCTTACACTGTCACTCTTTGCTGAGTAAAAAGAACTGAGGGTAGGAGTTTTTCCTTGTTATAAGTTCAGTAAAGGGCATTAGCCAGTCTGACTGGCTGAGGGGGTTTTAGATTGCTTCTCTCTCTCTCTTTTTTTAATATTTATTTTTTTAGTTGTAATTAGATACAATATCTTTAATTAATTAATTTATTTTTATGTGGTGCTGAGGATTGAGCCCAGGGCCTTGYCCATGGTAGGTGAGTGCTCTACTGCTGAGCCACAACCCCAGTCCCAGGTTGCTTCTCTTTTATAGGTGAAACTTAGTCCTCACCATCCTTTTAAATTACCACTTGACCCACTTAAGAACTAGTTGGTACTCCGTGAGCAGGAAAGAAAGTTGATGCTGTTGGCTTCCTATGTATATATAACTCAGGGTGAAAGCTAATTGGGCTGGTCAAGTGTGACCCTTCCTTGAAAGACTCTCTGCGTGTGTCTTACCAAGTATGTTTCCCAAGAATCAGCTCTTTGAAGTCCAGTAAGGAAACGAAGCAGAAGCCCTTGTCCATGTTCTTCTGGAGTGGGGTTCATTCATTCAGCCACACAGTGATAAAGCACCTTCCATTTGCCAARTGCTGTATCAGGCCTGAGGAACCCTTGCTCTCTTCAGAAGTATTGTCTCATGTCCCTAGAAACAGATAGACTTGGGTTCAGAATCTGGTGCAGCTGCCCCTGAGATCTTAAATGAACTGCTTCCCATCTCTGGGCTTGAGCTTTTCCAGCTGCAAAATAGGAATACTCCTCCCTCATAGAGTTGTCATGAGGAGTTAAATGAGGAGATATATGGCAGACTTTCTTAGCGAGAGTCCCTCAGCTGAGCCATAGAACACAGAAGCTGACTTGAGTGACTTTTCTCATTTCTTTCCAGAATGGATATAACATGTGCATTCTAGATGCACAGGAGAGAAATCAAGTCACTATAGATAGAGGATTCCTTATGGGGCATAAGTCTCTCAAAGAACCAGGTTGAAAGAGGCTGGCAGAACCTTCTTTTCTGATGGCTTGACACAGTGGCCAGTTCTGAAGTGACTAGAATTTCACAGTAACATGGTTATATCGTGAACCTGGCACATAATAGACACAGTAAATGTCAGCTTCCTCTCACAATTCCTCCACTTCCCTCCCTTTCTCACCAGACCTCAGATTCTCTTGAAGCTACCCACAGCTCTCAGGGGGAGCCCAGGTCTCCTCAGATGGAAAGTACCCATGTGTCTTACAGAGTGTTTTAGGCTTCTCTTCCCAGGCAAGTTGCCTCTGACCTTTGGGGCCTCTGATATCTACTAGATCTGCCTCCTGGAAAAAGTGGAGGCATTTTTTTCCTCAAATCTTTACTGAGTTGCTGTTCTGCCTTGGCTCCTTCACCAGGCCCCAGGGAGCAAAAAGGATAAACTAGTCCTAGATGCACTTGGCTGCACAGCATTACCAGCCTGTTAGTGGAGACAAAATCTGTTTATGRTGAGCCTGGTGAGGACCTAAGGGCCAAGCCTTTAAGATTTTAGAAAAAGGAAGGGGGATCCATATGGATAGGTAGTCACTCCCTTCATCTTTATCCTGTCCCAACATCCCCTACTGGACTGCCATTGGCATCTCAACATGGGTCTGGAGGTTGTCTATTAAACATGTACACCTTGGCCAGATATATATGTGCCAGCACCTGAAACCACTACCAGGGCTGCCCCTCTGTTCCTCTGTCCTATGGTGATTCAGACTCAATTAACCAGTTCCTTGGTGGGTCTGATTTCAGTGACTTCAGCTCACTCAGTCCACTCTGGGTTGAGTCTGAAAGGGAAACAGATACTGAACCCCACATCTTCCTTGCAAGAAGTCTGTTAATCCTGAGAGAAAATTGCTACTAGTTGTTCAGCTAAAAAATAACCTCAGAACCAATTCCTCCAGCTCCATGTGGCCTCCTAAACCTCATCTTGTCACTTTATTCAAGTCACAGGAGCCACTAGATAAGAGGTTGTATCCAGCAGAAGGGTCATGGTCACAGTGTCTATTTCAGAGGAGGTTGGAGGGCRGTGGGACTGCCTGGGATGAGGCCTGTCCAGGGACTAAAGCTCTAGGCTGGGCCCTGGGGGTGGTCACACAGTCTCAACTTCTAGTTGCTGGCAGCATGGAAGATAAGAATTAGTTAACAAAACAAACAAACAAACAAAACCAGGGAACATGTTCAGACTGACCCTCATCTTCATCTCTGTAAATGTTCAGAATAGGGAATTAGCTCCTGCTTTGAATCCTAGGACAAGTTACTTCATCATGTGAGTGTCACTTTTTCCATACCTATAAACAACTCCTATAAATGGAAGGAGTTGTTTTCTGAGGGTCTGAGTTTGAAAGGAGAACAAATACTGAGCCCCAACCCTTTAACMTTATGTTGAAGAGTTGGGTCTATGGAAGTTTCCAGTAGTGCTTTTCTGGTGGAGGCAAGACTGAGCCTGAAAGACAGGAGCCTGTGGTTGTGTAGCAAGGGGCTGGGAGTGGGATGCAGAGATTCAGGGCTGRTGATAGCCTTGCACCCCTTATGGCTAATTTTCCCAGAGCCTCTGCATGGCTGTGGAATAGGACCTGAACCCTGCACCTGTGACCAGGAAGTGGGGAAGATGTAGGGTCAGGGTGAAAACAGACTGTTTCATGCCACCAGGGGTGTTGCTAGGGTGAAGAGAAGGACAGGAATCTTGAGCCAGGGGCCAGACAGGAAAGAGAGGATTAGAAACGTGGCACAAGGTTGTATTCTGAGGACATTGCACTTTTTGAAAAGAATCCTCCCAAAAAACAGAACAAAAGGTTTTCTTGGCTTTTCATCTGAATGAGCCCTTCATATCTCTACTCCTAGCAAGTATGCCTGATTTAATAAAATCAGCACTGGCAGCCTGCAGCTTTGTTTTTGTTCTAAGACCTTAAACTGTCCTTTAAAAAATAAGAGGAGCTGGGCATGGTGGTGCATGCTGTAATCATAATGACTTGAGAAATTGAGGGAGGAGGATTGCAAGTTCAAGGCTAGCCTTAGCAACTTACTGAAGCCCTGCTTCAAAATTAAAAACAAAAAATTAAAGAGGAATACATACTTCCTATAGAATAATAGATAAAATAGCACAGAAGGGGGCTAAATGACAGGTAAGCCTCCACCTTCACCACCCCATCCATCTCATCTACTCCCCCCACCAAAAAAAAAAAAAAAAAAAAGCCCACCCCTGGGAGGCAATTTTCTATGAACCATCCTGTATCTGTAAGGCACTGATGAGCACCTGTGTGGTGCTGCTTCTAGGCCTCAGGCTGGGTCTGGATCTTTTCTGAGATGTCATTTGAGCTGAACTATTTATAGAAAGGGCTAGGGGATATAGCTACAGTGTGGCAGGGTGGCCCAGAAGCCTGCAGGAGAGGTTTTTCRGGGCACTAGGCAGGGATCATCATCCTCACTACAGCCAGGTGTCATGGAGTTGCCTGCTCTGGCCTTTCGCCAGAGCACTCTCATCTCCTCCTGTATCTAATGCCTCTTTTTCACCTTCACAGGATCCCTCTGTGACACAGCTGACCAGTGCCTCACAGAGTGGCCTCGCTGAGTTCAACCCCTTCTCAGAGGTTGGTGAGCGTGCGTGTTCTCTTGAGTCCTGGGATCCTTTGGTGGTGCCAAGATCTCTGGGGCAAGGAACTATGGCAGAGAAAGAAGCAGYTCTGAAAATCTGTATTCCTCAAGGGTACAATCCTAATATGAACTCAGGGTGGGAGTAAGGAGACATCATCAAAGGTTCTCTGCAATTCTCCTGTTGGGATATATGAACTGGGCCCCTCCCTGAGGAGGGCAGAGCACTAGTGAAGGTTCCTGGGTCCAGCAAGGCTGGGGTTACTGGGTTAGGGATCATATTGCCCTGAACTTGAGGCTTGTTGGCCAAGAGTCTGCAGAGGAAGGCCAAAAGCAAGCCCAGAAGGAGTTCCCCTCACCCTGTGGGCTTTCCACTAGTAGAACTTACCTATTTCCCCCTTTGATCTGTCCCACACAGACAAATGCAGCCACAACGGTTCCTGTCACACAACTCCCTGGGCCCTCACAGCCAGCAGTTCTCCAGCCCTCAGTGGAACCAACACAGCCAAGCCCCCAGGTACTGTTGACATAGAATCCATTGGCTTCTCCTGCAGTGAGGGCAGACCCATGACTCAGCCCTGATGCTGAGGGGGAACAGAGGACCTTAATCACTGGCTTCCCTTCAAGGGTCTTCTTGCAAAATTCTTTGGAACTGGTCACTTACAAGTGTAGGGGCTAATTGCCAACTGAAGTACTCACCAGGCTGTGGTCCTTGGTGTATTCAGAGAAAGAATTTGTTCCATTTTACCATTCCTGGTCCTCTTGAAGCCTTTGCCCTATTCTTTATTACTTGGGGCCCAGAATATCTTTATCTATCTTTCTATGGCCCTATTTCTATATCTGTCTCTCTCCCTCTCTCCAACTGGGCTGAGGATAAAACCCAGGGCCTTGTGCATGCTAGGCAAACACTGTACTACCAAACTACACTCTTGGCCCTACACCCCCAGCCCATCTCTATTGATTTTAACCTAATTTATTCCTGCTTTTCTTCATATTTTCCCTTGTCCTTCACCAGATATGGTGAATTTTGTCTGCTTTATGCACAACACTCCACTCTGTCAACTTCCATTCCTATCCCCAGGCTCCTGCCTGAGGCTCCTTGCTGCCCCATGAGTGTGGCCCACAGTGGAATTGTATGTTACAACTTCTGCCTAGGCAGATTGGCAAGTTCCTGCCTGCCCGATTCCTGGCAGTGGGTGAGCTCTCAGAGAGGCAGGTGCTACTAGGAGGAGATAGTATTCTCAGAGACAGCTACACGTGAAAGCTTCCAAAGGTAGGCCCAGTGTAGATGTCAAGWGGGAGGCTGGGCATCTACCCTGCTCACGCTGGCCCTAGAACCCTGTGGAGGTGAGGCAAGCCTTACATGCAGGGATGACTTTATTTCAGCAGTGTGGTGGGCTGCAGGGATCCAGGCCCTGCTCAGATGAAGGCAGGAAAGGGGAAAGGAGACTAAGACCATCAATGTGGTACTGAGGTCTGTTCTCCTGCTTCTGCCTCCAGTGCTTGAAGTTCACCTCCCAAAGGCAATCTTAGCTCTTTGGGGAACTCCTTTTGGTAAAAGGTGTGTTGTGAATGTATGCTAATGTATGTCATTCTCTGAGATGACCTGCTCCCTAAAAAAGACTGTAGAAGGAACCTGGCCAAACAGTGACAGGAGCCTGCAGGAGCAGGGCTCTAGGCCCCATTCTGCTCAGTCTCACCAGAGCGTCACTGAGCTCCCTCACTCAGATGCTCAGCTCAGCCTGCAGAGGAGATAAAGCATGGACTCTGTACACTGTGAAAGCCAGGCAGGGTTGTGCCTCAGGGCTTGTCTGGGGAGTGTCCAGTCACAGTTCAGGTGATCAGCTCTATTGAGATGGGCTTCTGGAGGCAGCTCCTGCGGGTGGGCAGGGATGGTAGAGAGTTTAAATACAGATCCCTGGGGCTCTATCCCTGACGTCAAGTGACTCCTCTCTGTACTCACTGCTGAAAGCTTTGCACTATTCTCTCTTCACATGCCCACTCCAGGCTTTTCACGTAAGGCATGAGTCTCTGGGTTTCTGGCTTCATTTAGTCTCTTGTGAGGTTTTCTTCCCTCTGCTATAACCCCAAAGATCATTAACTGAACTCAACGCAGACTCCAGTTTGGGGAATAAGGAGGGTGTCATGGGGGATTCTTTTCTTAGCTCAAGATTAGGGATAAGGGGAAAGGAGAACYCTAGTAATAGCTTAGTGGCCAGAGGGTGGCGTAGGGGCAATGGGGGATAGATCCCCTTGGCCTCTCTATGGCAGTCCTCAGTTTTCCAAGACACTGTGGGGCTGGTACCTCCTCTGGTACTCCCTACTTGATATTCTTACTTGGTACAAGGTGCCTTTGCCTGCCTTACCCAAGCTGACACTATTCCTCTGTCTCTAATGTCTGGCTGCCCTCCACCCCATTCTCTCAGGCTGTGGCAGCTGCAGCCCAGGCAGGCCTGCTCCGGCAGCAGGAGGAACTGGACAGGAAAGCTGCTGAGCTGGAACGCAAGGAGCGGGAGCTACAGAACACTGTGGCCAGCTTGCATGGTAAGGGAGGCTACTGGAGCCTCAGCCCACCCTGCCTGGTACAGGAATGTCCTCAACCCTGTACAGATTGCCCTCCCAGCACTCATCCTGAGCCACCTTCTTCCTGGGGTAGCTRCAGAACTTCAAGGAATTCTTGGTCTTCTCAGAAGGGCACCAGTCCTAGGGGAGAGCAATAAGTTGGAAGTCTAGAGACCTACAGTGTAGACTTGATGAAGATTATTTTTGCACTCCTTTCCAGCTCTGAAATTCTTTTTCTTTTTTCCAGTAGTTGGAATTGAACTCAGGGTCTTATGCATTCTAGGAAGACATTCTACTATAGCTACCACCCTACCCCTTTTTAAAAATTTTGATTTAGTTTTTCTGGTACTGGGGATTGAACCCAGAGGCACTTCAACACTGAGCCACATCCCTAGCCCTTTTTAAAAATTTTTATCTTGAGACAGGGTCTCATTAAGTTGCTTAGGGCTTCACTAAGTTGCTGAGGCTGGCCTCAAACTTGTGATCCTCCTATCTCAGCCCCTCAAGTAGCTAGGATTAGAAGTGTGTGCCACTRTGCACCCAGCCTGAAATTCTGATTCTTTGATAGCATGGGGCAGGCAGTGGTCCCACAATTTCTTACTCATGACGATGACCCTAGTTATCTTGCTTGTGGGCTTGTTATTAATAAAAATAATTACTTAGACCATTTAGCTCTCTACTTCCCAGTGCATTTGGGCTTCATTATCTTTGAGTGAGCTTATTTAAAGGTGTCTCTTTGGGAACATTTACAATCTTCCATCCCACTCATGCTCCTGCTTGTGGTAGGTCCTCTGCAAACTCTGGTTTGCCTATAAACTGGGTCAGCATGTGCATTTCTCTTTCCACACAGTGAGAGAGAACAACTGGCCAGCTCTGCCCTCATGGTGCCCTGTCAAGCCCTGCTTCTATCAGGATTTCTCTGCTGAGATCCCTGCTGACTACCAGCGGATATGCAAGATGCTGTACTATCTCTGGATGTGTGAGTCCAACTCCTGCCCTCAGARTTTAGGGGTGCAGTGGGTCTCTTTTTGGTTAGCTTATTCTTCTCTGATGTTGAGACTTTCTTCAGACTTCAGCTTTCCTGATACCTAGCTGTGTAGGGACCTCCCTACACAGGGTGCTTTCTTCTTGAGAGGGTCAGTCGAGACCACTTAGCACATAGAGACTTCCAAGTCCCTGTAAAGCTCACTGCTCTAAAAAGCCCATTTAGGTGAAAGCCTCTCTCTCAGGCTCCTAGGTTCCTGTGGGTGAGAAAAGAGATTCTGTAGCTCTTTTGTGGGCCACTAGGGCCAGGGAAAAAGTTACTTCCCAAAGATCAGCCCTGGAACTTCACTTCCCCATGACTACTTCCCAGAGACCTGGGCTGTCCTGTTACCTCTCAGGAACTTTAATTTTGAGGTTCCTGAAAACCAGGGTTTGGGAACTGAGATTCTTTACTATTTTTGTAGCTGTCATACAGCATGGACCTCACTTCCTCTCCTAGGGAATGGCTTGCCCTGTCGGGGAGCCTTCAGCTGCCTTGGCTTAGTTTGTTTCTCTCCTCTCCCCTTGCCCAGTGCATTCAGTGACTCTGTTTCTGAACCTGCTTGCCTGCCTAGCCTGGTTCACAGGCAACAGCGCCAAGGGAGTGGACTTCGGCCTCTCGATCCTGTGGTTTGTGATCTTCACCCCCTGTGCCTTCCTTTGTTGGTACCGACCCATCTATAAGGCCTTTAGGTGAGTGGGACTGTGGCAAAGAGTGAGGGTTAGGTTGGCATCCCAGTAGTAGGTGACAGACCCTAGGCCTGGGGTCCCATTCCCCCTAGTGTATAATAGAGTGGTATGGAAATTTGGTTTCCTAGTGCCACCCAGAGCCAGAGCAGACAAAAACAGGAGCCATTTTCTTCAGTTGGACCTGAACTCTGCTCTAGGCCCTGTCCACAGATGAGGCAAGGAGATCTAGAGAAGGGATATGAAGCCTCATCTGCCATCCCACTGCACCTAGTCTTGCTGGCAGGGAGGTATTTCAGTTGCTAGGAAGAAGAGTCCTCAGAGAACTCCCCTTGGAGTCTCTAAGTGTGCTTAAGAGTGTTAAACGGATGTTCTTGGTGGCCTCTCTCTTATGTTCACTGGTATACCCCGTTGACTCTTGGGTATCTGATGAGTGCCAGTGCCTAGGTTAGATACTGTGAACATGAATGGGTACATCTCATAGACCCCTAAGGGTTTTGGAATTGTACCTCCGGGTTGATGTTTTCAGAACTGAAATGGGTCAGGGCCCAACTGCATGATCCCATGCATCTTCAGGCAGGAYCTGAATACTGCAGGGTACAGAGGTGGAGATGCTCAACCCATAAAGAGCCTTATCTGATATTCCTACTCTCCATTCCCCAGGTCTTTTGTCCATTTTGTCCACCCAGGTCTTTCCGGGTTTTGTGGTGTGGTGGTAGTCATGTTGAACTCAAGGCCTCTATCACTAAGCTGTGTCCCAACCCCAGGCTTACAGTTTTACTATTAGAGATTTATGCCTTTTGCTTAGATTTTTATTGCCTGCTATGAAATGMAGGTACTGCAGGAGATGGAGTGTTAGGCTCTTTATATTATCCTTTGGGCGAATAATTTTATCAGGGAGGCAGTAAAAGCCAACCCTTCTTGATTTTTTTTGGTAGATATCCATGTGCTTATGTCCTTATGGATAGTGGGACTGGTTCCCTGGGGCCCTGGCTACTTGTCCATCCTGCTTCCTGGCCCCTAGTTAAAATAGATGTCATACAAAGTAAGGAAAGGCTCAGGAAATGGCCCAAGCCCTCTCTTGACTTCTTATTTCCCTGTCTCTCCACAGGTCCGACAACTCTTTCAGCTTCTTCGTGTTCTTCTTTGTATTTTTTTGTCAAATAGGGATCTACTTTATCCAGTTGATTGGCATGCCTAACCTGGGGACCAGGTAAGACCTGAGGCATCACAGTGGGAAGTAGGCTTTGAATGTAGGGCTCAGYCTCTCGCCCTGTTTACTAGCTCCCAGAGAACTCCATGGATGACCCCAATTCTACCACAGTGGGAGGGGGTGGATGGGCCTGCCTCTGGATCTGCCTTGAGTAAGTTTCCTGCTACTTACTCACCATTCTTAAGGTGGTGAGTATAGGTGAACTTGGCTTGAATCCTTAGGGCTGTATGCTGYGCTGGATTATAGCCTCTTCCTCCCAGAGGCTGAGGGATGACCTGGACTTTATAGACACTGAGCTGCAATGTCCAGAGACATTGTAACTGCAGGAGACAGGGCCCAGCTTCCCCTGTGTAGGCTTCTTCCTGCTGTCCTCCCTGAGCACCTGGCTGACTTGAGTTTTCTGGCTACCTTGGTCCTCAACTCAAAATTAGTCTCTAGAGGAAAAGCTAGGACTGATAATTTGCCTCTCTGTCCCAGTGCACAGAGGCAGTACAGAAAGGTCAGACAGGCACTTGGCTGAGAGCCCAAGCCTGGAAGAGTGGCACTATTTTGGTCCCCTCCCTCCAGCACAGCTGGCAAATCCAGAGCATGAGGAGAAGGCTGGCTTCCCTGGCACTCAGAGCCAGTGCCCACTGTCCTCCCACCAGCGTGCTTCCTTCTCACCCAGCTCTTTCTAATCTGCTCTGTTTTCGTGAACTAATTCAATTACTCTTTACCCTAAGCAAGATCCTGATAGAAAGGCTGTCATGGGGGGCTGGGGATATAGCTCAGTTGGTAGAGTGCTTGCCTTGTATGTACAAGGCCCTGGGTTCAATCCCCAGCACCACAAAAAAAAAAAAAAAAAAAAAGAAAGAAAAAGAAAGGATAACTGCTGTTTGCCAAGCATGGTGGCATAAACCTATAATCCCAGATACTCCAAGGCTGAGGCAGGGGAATTGCAAGTTTGAAGCCAGCCTGGACAACTTCAGCAACTTAATGAAACCTTATCTCAAAAAATAAAAAGGACTGAGGATGTGGCCCAGTGGTAAAGTGCCCCTGGTTCAATCCCCAGAACCAAAATAATAATGATGATAATGACAATAACAACTGTTATTCACACTCTGGCCCTGGCCTTGCCCCTCACTGCTCTGCATGGTTCCAACTAGATGTGCTCTGAAGCCTCCAATTGCCTTTCTACAGCCCTTCTGTGACCATTTTCTAATTGTGTTTCACCACATCTTGTTATTTGTTGTAAAACACTTTAACAGAATTTGCCATTGTATTTACCACCTTAACCACTGAGGAATGTACAGTTTGTGGCATTTAGTTTAATTTTTTTTTTTTTTATTTCACTCATTTATTTTTTACGTGGTGCTGAGGATCGAACCCAGGGTCCTGCATGTGCGAGACGAGTGCTCTACCGCTGAGCCACAACCCCAGCCCCTAGTTGAAATATTTTATCAGCCCAGAAGAAAATGCCATTTCACATGGGAAGTCATTCCTCATTCTCTGCTTCCATGAACCCCTGGCAACCATTAAACTTTTTGTGTGGCTCCCTTCATGTAGYATAATGTTTCCAAGATTCAGTCATGCTTTAGTATGTATTAGTACTCTGTTCCTTTGTATGACTGAATATTATTCCATTGCATGGATATACTATATTTATTCATCAGTTGATGATCATTTGCATTCATTTCAAAATTCTTTTAGCTTTGTGAATAGTGCTAAGAMTGTTTTCTGGGGGGTTTACCAGGGATTGAACTCAGGGTCACTCAACAACCACTGAGCCACATTCCCCAGCCCTATTTTGTATTTTATTTAGAGACAAGGTCTCACTGAGTTGCTTAGCACCTCACTTTTGCTGAGGCTGACTTTGAACTTGTGATCCTCCTGAGCCACCAGGATTTTAGGTATGTGCCACCACTCCCAGCTTGATGTGAACATTTTTATACAGAATTTAATTTGAAGATCATCTTTTGTGCATGTCTGGGTATGTGTGGTGCTGGGGATTGAACCTAGGACCTCATGCATGCTAAGCCAGCCATCTACCATTGAGCTATACCCCTAGCCTCAAGTTTTTGTTTATCTTCCCTTTGTATATCTTTCTAGGAGTAGAATTGGTGAGTTATATAGTAATTGTACTTTCTTTTGTTGTGTGGTACTAGAGCTTGAACCTAGGGGCACTTTACCACTGAGCTACATCCCCAGCCCTTTTAATTTCTTATTTTGAGACAAGGACTTGCCAAATTGCTGAGGCTGGCCTCAAACTTGCTATCCTCCTGCCTCAGTGTCTCAAGTCACTGGTATTACAGGCATGTGCCACCACACCCATCTAAGTCTACCTTTAACTTATTTGAGGAGCCTCTAAAGTGTTTCACACAGTACTTGAACTACTGAGCAGTGCATGAGGGTTCCACTTTCTTCATGTTCTCACCAATACTTGTTTTCTTTTTAATTTAAATTATTATACCACCCTAAAGATATATTTCACAGTTGTTTTGATTTGCGTTTCCTGAATGCCTAATGATATTGAGTACACTTTATGCTTCTTGGCCATTTGTGTATCTTCTTTGGAGAAATATCTGTTCTATTCTTTTGCTAACTGGGCTTTTTGTTATTGAGTTGTAAGGGTTCTTTACATATTCTGAATACTAGACTTTTACTAGATAATGTTTTCATAAATTTTATTTTCTATTCTCTACATTAATTTCTCAATGTCCTTTTTGCTGGGTATGTTGGCACATTCTTGTAGTCCCAACTTGGGAGGCTGAGACAGAAAGATCACAAGTTTGAAGYCAGCCTCAGCAGTTTAGTGAGACCTTATCTCAAAAAATAAAAAGGGYTGGGGGTGTGGCTCAGTGGTAAAGTGCCCCTGGGTTCAATCCCTGGTACTGGAAAAAAAAATCCTTTCATGCACAAAAGTTATTTATTAATGCTGGGAACTGAACCCAGAGCCACATACAAGCTAATAAGCATGTATTCAACCATTGAGCTATAGCTCTACTCTAAAATTTTTGAATTTTGATCAAGTCCAACTTATCTTTTTCTTTTGGTGTCATATCTAAGAAACTATTGCCAAACTTATAATCATGAAGAGTTGTAGTGAGTTTTCAAATCAGGGATTATGAAGATAATCCCTTTTACAGATGAGGATACTGGAACTCAGGGATGTTACAAGGCTGACTAAAGACAGAAGGGGCTATTCCTGAGCTAGTATGAGAAACTTGGTGCCAGGATAAATGCAGTAGGCATTCCATGCACCCCACCCCCAAGGAAAAGGGGGCAGCTGCTACATCATCTTTCTGGACCTCACATGGCTAGAAGATTCCCCATGTGAATCCATTTCTGAGGCCCCAGAGGAGGCCAACCTGGAGTGGCATGGGCTGGTCAGCCCTCAAAGAGGCCTGGCCTCTCTCAGACTAAGGGCTCTGGCCCATAGCGTTCACTGTATTGCAGAGAGATGTCCAGGTGGTAGTTGGGACACAGTAGCCAGTTGGAAAAAAAACCCTTATGGAACTTCTGGGACCCACTCCCACTTTGCCCCCTTTGCCCCCCTCTTCCTTTTGTAGTGGTTGGATTGCAGCCCTGTCTACACTGCAGCAAGAGTCCTTGGCCGTGTCCATCATCATGATGGTGGTGGCTGGCTTCTTTACACTATGTGCTGGGCTCTCGCTCTTCCTCCTACAGCGGGTAAGTGAGGGCCAGGCCTCAACAAGCTCAAAGAAGTAAGTGCTCTCTCTGGTCTTTGCCATGAGGKGTGTTCCTCACCTCTGTAGTTGGGCCTTCTAGGACATGGATGTGTACAGCACATGCCTCCAAGACTCTTGAGTGGGAAGTTARGCAGAGTTGGGTGCCTGGGGGTAAGTCCCTGTGGGAGTATAGCTAGAATTCTGGTTGGCCCATCACTCCACCCTCTTTCCCCAGGTGCACTCCTTCTACCGCCGGACAGGAGCTAGCTTCCAGCAGGCCCAGGAGGAGTTTTCCCAGGGCATCTTCAGCAACAGAACCTTCCGCAATGCGGCCTCATCTGCTGCCCGAGGAACCTTCCAGGGAAATTAGTCCTCCTGATTCTCCTCCCTCTGCCTCAGCCTCTTCTCTCTCCTGCCTTCTAAGCTGCACTTTCCGTGGGTGCCTTATGCAGTGGTTGTGCCCAGCACTGACCCGGCGGGGGCCTTGTCATGACTCTTCCTCCTTCCTCAGCAACTAGCTCTCCCTTCCCCCTGAGGGATGGGGAGGGAGGGACAGGAACTTTTTTTTACACAAGAGAAAAAAAATAACAAAGATCTTTCCTTCTCTGGTGGTGGTTTGGTAGGATTCTTTTGTCTCACTGGAAGCAGTGGGACTGAAGCTGTCTTCCTCCTGTATGCACGCACACACGTCTGCGTGCACACACACACACACACACACAGGATCATTAGCTGGCCTGGACCTACCCTAGCTGGAATTTTCTGTTGGCATCCTGGAACTCATGTCCTGGGACCACAGTCCTTCCCCAGAAGGCCTGGCCCAAATTGGGCTCTACATAGCGAGCATGGGACCCCCACTGTCCTGCCCTGCCTGACCTGGTTGGGATAAACCTCCCAAGGGTTCCACTTTAGGTGAGCTGCAGTCTAGGTATATGGACAGGTCTATTCCCCAGATCATTCTGGCATGGTCTCTGGGTTTCCAGAGCCTCTGGCTGGTTGCCCCAGGCCCTTCCCTGCCTCATGTTATTCACAAATATATTCATAACCTTCCTGGTGTGTGTAGCACCTTGTCCCCTCTGGCTCTGAGTCCTTTTCAGACTATGAATGTGCAATGGAGTTGGTTGGGATTGAGATAAGGAGGGATAGGACATTGGTCCCAAGTTGTCCCACTCAGCCTTTGGCAGTCTGCTAGGAGAGTGGGTCTTGAATGTTCTGGTGGTTTGTATGKCCCTGTTTGTTCTGACTTCTCTTGTCTCCTAAAGGACAGGTATTTGCCTTAGCCTTAATCCTGTCACCACCARTAGCCATTTCCATCTTGTGAAACTCTTGAGGGAGGGGGAATCGTTCTAGAACTGTGTCCTTCAGGAAGGACAGATGAGCCATTTTTCTGAGGGTTCCAAACTAATCCTTCAGGGTTCCTTCCACACCCAGAGTAGAATCTAGGTCATCTTCCATCACTTGGGATTCTTAGGAGGTGTGTTACTGTGATGCATCTCTGGGAGTTCACTRCCTGTACCTTGTCCTGCAGAGGTTGCAGGATCTGGTGTGTGGGCTGTGGGAACTTAGCAAGCTGGCCAGTCTGCAGACTCTGGGTCCTGGAGCCCRCCTGAGGCAGCCCCCCAGACTGTCAGCCCACTTAGGCCTAGAGCCACTCAGTGATAATGACAGYGACCAGGGTTTTGTAAACTCCTTTCTGGTGTTTTTCTCCTCCGTGTACAAATGTAAATGTTTTGTCTAAATTTTTGTGCTTAAATAAAAATAAGACATTTTCAGACAGCACTGGTCCTGATGTCTGGGGAATGTGGGAGTATGGTGTGGTCCATCACATGGAGGCTGAAGGCTTTGGCTGGTCTTTGACAGGTGGATGAGCCCCTTCCTCCAAAGACAAAGGTAGACGRTAGGCCGGGGAAAGGAAACTTGGCCTTTTCCAAAGGCACTGGCTGGTCCCAAGTACTTCTACTTTCAGAACTACCATTCGATTTTGTACTGGGGATTGAACCCAGGGGTTTACCACTGAGCGACATTCTTATCCCCACCCCCACCCCCCCCTTTTTTTTGAGACAGTCTTGCTAAATTGCAGAGGCTGACCCCGAACTTGAAATCCGCCTGCTTCGACCTCCAGAGTGGCTGGGATTACAGCTACCACCCCCAGGGAAGGCTGCTAGTCTTGTCTTCCAAGGAGCCATTCTGGGTCCCTCTTGGAATCTCCCCTCCCCCTCACGGTCCTGTTCACCGGGCTCCTCCTCTCCCGCCCCCTCACGTGGATTATCTCTGGACGCTGTCTCTGGGTGGAATTCCCTGGGTCACTGTATCCGCGGTACTCGGCTCGCTTTCGTGCCCCTCGCGGAAACTTCATTGATCCCAAAAAGGCCTTGAGGGTCCTGGCTGAGGACGTCCAGGGGCCGCTGCGAGAGCGGGAGGAGGGCGAACCTCGGAGCGGGGCGGGGTCGAAGTGCACTTCCGGAGGGCGGCGCTAGGGCCGYGTGGACCCCAGCTAAGCCGCCGTGCGCTACGCGGGCTCGGCTGCCGGCCCGAACCGGCGCCGGGAACCAGGAAGCGCCTGCGGGCGGGCGCGGGATGGCTGGGCCCGGCTGGGGTCCCCCGCGGCTGGACGGCTTCATCCTCACCGAGCGCCTGGGCAGTGGCACCTACGCCACCGTGTACAAGGCCTACGCCAAGGTGAGTGTGGGAGGGGCTACAGCGCCGGGCGCTCGGCTCCTGTGCCGCCGACGCAGGAGACGTGGGGGGTCAGAGACCTCGTAAGATCAGTGGGGCCCGCSGTCTGCCCAGCCCCAGGCTGACCCTGGTGCAGGAGGGTGGAGCTCACTGCCGCTCCTGGGTCTTAAAAACAAACACAAGTATACGCCCACTGTTTGCTATGGAGGGGCGGGTGGGACCTTGGTGGGACCCCAGTGTCAGAGRCTGAAGAACTGGCTCAAAACGGAAGTTGCCCGTGGACTGGGAGGAGTCTAGGACAGGACTCTAGAAGGCAAGACCAGTAAGGGGCGGAGTGGCAGTTCTAGAATACTGAGTGACGTGCCTTTGCGTGCGCACCTAGAATGCGGTGCAGTGAGGGTTGGGTTGCAGAAGGTTGGAGAACAACCAAGCTGGATTGGGAAGCCAGGATTTCAGAATCCAGCTGCCTCATGAACCTGAGAAGGGGAAGCTGGGATTTCCGCCCGGAGGCTTGTGTGGGTGGGCAGGTCCAGGGATTGAAAAGGAGCAAAGGTGCCTCTTCCAGCGAGGCATGATCCTGGCCCTCTCAAGGCAGAGCCCCCAATCTCCTTTCCAACAGAAGGACACTCGAGAGGTGGTAGCTATAAAGTGTGTGGCAAAAAAAAGTCTGAACAAGGCGTCGGTGGAAAACCTCCTGACTGAGATTGAGATCCTCAAGGGCATTCGGCACCCCCATATCGTGCAGCTGAAAGACTTCCAGGTGTGAACCTGGGATGGGGCTCCCCCAAGGGGACTGGAGAAGGGACACACTCTAGGCTGCTTCTCTACTTCTAATCACAGTGGGACAGTGACAATATCTACCTCATCATGGAGTTCTGTGCGGGAGGTGACTTGTCTCGATTCATTCATACCCGAAGGATTCTTCCTGAGAAGGTGGCTCGAGTCTTCATGCAGCAATTGGGTAAAAGCCTCCCAGCCTCACAGCCCTTCCCATGTTTTCTGTACCTCCTGCATACTACCCCTATCCCCAGGCTTAGAGACCTGGCATTGCTTTGCAGCTGCTGCTGCTTAAGAATTTTTAGGGCCCTKTCTTTCCCATGTTCCAACCCTAACTTCAGGGTGCTGTGAGAGAGAGGAGCCTCCATTTGCCGGGAGTTCAGGCTTCCACATGTGGAACATAATATGAGAATTTTATTTAACATTCCAAGGCCCAGTAGGTGGAACCCAAGTACATTAGCAAGGAAAAGGAAAAGATCCTAAAGGGCCAGGGCATCYCAGGAGACTTGTGAGAAGTCTAGAGGGGAGAAAGGTGGGCACTGGAGGAAAGTGAACTTTTGCAAGTGGCAGGAGCCTGGTGCTTATCTGTGAAGCATTTGTGAGACTAGTAAGGCTAGAACTGGGGCTGTGTAAGCTTGAAAAGGCAGATGAAATCCTRGGGAGGGGAGACATAAGCAGGAGAGGGGCTATTCTGACCTGTCTCTCTGCACATGTCCTGCTCCCCAGCTAGTGCCCTGCAGTTYCTGCATGAACGAAACATCTCTCACCTGGATCTGAAGCCACAGAACATTCTGCTGAGTTCTTTGGAGAAGCCCCACCTTAAACTGGCAGGTCTGAATCTGGAACAGCAGGGGTGATGTTTTTGGGTGGGTGAGCAGAGGCTCCCTCTGCCTGGCAGGCCCCTGTTGAGACATCAAACAGGGACAAACTTGTAGATCCAGGGCTGGGTCACATCATTGGCAGGTAGGAGCTTTCTTAGACTGCCTACACTTAACTCCAGCAGTGTAATGGGCAGAGTTAGGGTAAGATTGTGGTCAGAGTTGGGGCTTACTGTATGTCAGGTTTGGGTTTCAGACTGGAAACAGTCTCATTGTGTGACCAGCATCAGGGATCAGTCTGTGATCAGGGAACAGACTGGATTGGTTCTCAAACTGTGACTCAATCTGGGGCGGTCTTGGGGGGGGTGTTGTGGGAGAAGAATGGTTGTGGCCCCTGATACAATTTGGACAAGAATGGACTTTAGGCTAGAGGTCAAAGAATATGGTGTAGCCTAAGATGGTGAACAGTGAGGGTGAGGCCCTTATCCATGTAGCTGGTATGATCAGGTAGCTTCCTAGGAAGCAGATGCCTAGAGAGAGTGTGCAGGGTGGTTGGGATTTGCACACCCAGAGGAAGAAATAGGAGGATGTTGCAGAGGCTGGGAAGTGGGATTGATCCTGGTGGTGAGTCTGGAAGGTGGGGAAGAGCCCTGCCATGAGCTGGGGGTGAGGCTTTACAGGCTACAAGTACAAGCAGCTGGAATTTGAGCCCTGCTGCCTTGCCTTTTGCCTATAGACTTTGGCTTCGCACAGCACATGTCCCCATGGGATGAGAAGCATGTACTCCGCGGTTCTCCCCTCTATATGGCCCCTGAGATGGTGTGTCAGCGACAGTATGATGCCCGTGTGGACCTTTGGTCCGTAGGGGTCATCCTGTATGGTGAGACCTCTTTCCCCCTCACCCACCCTAACCCAAGGGCTGTACTGTGTGTCCTCTGATAAGACTTCTCTGGACCTCTGGGGTGTAAATGAGAACTACAGTTCTATTGATCTGTGGCCCTGTTCTAAGGAGCATCAGATCCCTCTCCCCAGGAGTGTGCCAGGCCATGCTTGGCCTCCTCCCTTCCCAACCTCTCCTCTGCCTCCATTCCACAGAAGCCCTCTTTGGGCAGCCCCCTTTTGCCTCCAGGTCATTCTTGGAACTGGAAGAGAAGATCCGAAGCAATCGGGTTATTGAGGTGGGTCTGCCAGGGTCTTAGCAACCATGTGGGGGTGGAAGGAGTCAGGGCCTTGCACAAATTGCAGTGTGGGCCCCAGGCTGTCTCCATGGTCATGGGGCAGGCTCTAGCAGGGAAGGTGGGGCTTGGATGCATTGCAGGGATCCGGGACAGTCCACAGCAAA